GGCCTGGCCTCATGTAAGCTGCTCTGAGTCCCCATCGGGGAGATGGTGGCGGGGTATAAATAAAGATTATTATTATTATCATCATTATTATTACAATTGATAACAGTAGCAAAATTACAGTTATGAAGTAGCAATGAAAATGATTTTATGTTTGGGGTTCACCACAACATAAGGAACTGTATTAAGGGGTCGTGGCATTAGGAAGGTTGAGAAACACTGTTATAGGGTATGGTTTCCAGTCCTTTAACCATTTTGGTTGCCTTTCCCTGGACATGTTCAAGCAAACAGAAGTGAAATAATACTCTTCATAACTTGCAGTTCAGTGAAACAGCATCTAGGATTGTGTGGCTGTGTAGCAGAGCCAACACGTGAAGTCCTGTTTCAAGGCTCGCTTCAGGTCAACACCATGGTCTGAAGAGAACTAAAGGATGCACACTGCTACAAAATACAGCCACAAAACATGAGTTTTGATCGCCTAAAATGATTCAGAGTATTTAAAAAAATGCTCCTTTCTTTTGGGGTCATTTTAGGGCTAGAGTTATAAGTTCAGCAACAACCGTTTTTCATGATGCAAGGCATAACAAGGGGATCTCACCATCTCAGCCACCCCTGTGGACAACTTTGGATTTTGGTTTTCAGATTCTTGGATGAAGAATATTCCCTTTTATTCCCTTGGCAGAGTATAATTGACAATTAGTACAGCTACAACAAACTCTTAGATTTCATGGCATTTGAACTAATGCCTAATTATCCTTCATTCTTCTTTCTGTATATCAGCACCGTCAAAGGCACAAATTTGTTCAAATTTGTGAGATTGTGTGTATGCCTTCCTCTTGCTCTGCTGCCTGATTTCTGTTCATCATTGTGAACAATCTTATCTCCCCTTTCTTAGAACATCCTCTGTCATACTTGAGTTGATGGTATCTCTGTGACAGTTTGCATTAGTTTCCTTGACAGTTCTGACCCTGTCATTAAGCTGACTGTTGCAATCAGTTTACCATTGCTTGGGGGGCGGGGAGACCCCTGACTTTTGGCTTAGCAACAATGTCTTCTCTTATGCTGTTAATCATGCCATTAATCATCATGCTGGCTCCAATGAGATGTCAGGTATACACAAGCCAATGTAACACTAGTATGTGGGCTGTCTAAAGTCCATGTGTTAAGTGACTGTCCTGGCCTCCATTATCCAGTACCTCCAGATCTATAAGGCCTTCAACAGAGATCCCTATAGAGTAGGAAAGAGACATCAAGAATACAGCATACATGTTGCAGTATAGAGTGAACATACATCTTTCTTAATATTATAGCTTTTGTTCTGGTATTGTTTCCTTTTCAAAACACTTAGTAGTTTAAATTGTTGACACTCTATCATAACCTAAGTGACAGTATTTTGCATTATGACACAGAAGACCACATAGGGGTGCTGTTGGTTAGCTTTGTCTCTACAGAACACTAGTGCTTCATTTTCCCAATAAATTCCCAAATCCAAAGTACTTCTGGTTCAAAGAGACCTGTTGAGATGGAGGAAGAAGTCATTCCATCAGCAATATTCAATTGACACTTAGTTGACAGACCATGACCAGTAAAAATTGTGGCCAGTTTATCTCTGCACTGGGATGGGAGCAGAGAGAGACTATCTTTTGAGTTCACCCTGGACTGAGCTCCCCTTTTGAAAGCCAGACTGGTAATGAAAGAAGAAAAATATTCCATATCCTTGAGAGGCTGTGGTAAGCTACTGCTTTGTGGGAAGAGAAAGTAATTTTCCAAATTACATTAGTCTTTGGCCTTTTGTGCTAATGTGTGTGTCACTGCAGTCTTTGCTTTGCAAAGCAGACAGAATGACGATATCTGGGCATTTGGCCAACATTTGCAGACAGAAGGAAGGGATAAAAAGTATAATGTTGATGTTGCCAAAGAAAATGAAAGGGAATAAGGTCATAAAGATAATGATTTCCTTGGAGTCCAGCTGAAAGAAATGCTTTGGGATCAGAGGAGCTGGATATCCTCAGGCCGTCACAGTGAGTATATACTTTACTCTTTATTGAATTCTGGCCTTATTCTAGAATTCATACTACAAAGCTGCATTAACTAAAGGCTGGTCTTCATTAGAATGTATGCATTTGTGAACTATACTATTTTTAAAGCATCTCTTGGTACTGTTCTGTTATCTGGGCGGAGGCCAAAAGGGGGTGCTAGAGAGAGAAGGATAGTCCATTTTACAGGAGGGAGGGAGGTTGACGGAGTTAAACCATTTCCCCCTGTTTTCCTGTTATTTTCCCCACCCATGTTGTCCTTGTCGAAAAAGCCACTGTTTATGAAGGGGAGGGGAAATAACCAGTGAAAATGGAGAAAATTGTTTTCCTTTTACAACTTTCCCCATCTCCAAAATGAGCTATCCTTCTCTGTGAAGACCCCCCTCTACATGTCTATTATGCTATAGAAATCAAGAATTGTGTTTGATGCACCATGTAATAAGATACACAAAGTATTATGTTATTGTTGTTGAAACTTCAAATATGATGTCATATGACAGATTTATTACTTATATGCACAATATAGAGGAACAGCTTCTCTTTGTCATGGATAAATGTCCATATTCATGTAGATAAACATTTATAACTAACTAGCTGTCCCCTGCCATGCGTTGCTGTGGCCCAGTCTGGTGATCTGGAAAATAAAGTAACGAGAAAGTGTTGGTTTCTAATATATGTCATTTCTGTATGCTTGTGGATAAACAGTATTTCTTGTTGTTTCTTTGTCAGTGTTGATGTAGAGATTGTCTGGTTTGCCTACTCTGGAATATACAACATATAATTGTCCTTTTTAGGGGTCCCTTTCAAATTTATGATATTATATCTGTCATTATATATGTGTGTGTGTGAGAGAGAGAGAATCATATATAATTATCTATATTTATGGCTGGATGGCTTCTTGTCAGGAGGGTTTTGATTTTCGGGCTCTGGTGAAGAGAGTTGGACTGGATGGCTTTAAGGCAGCATTTCTCAACCTGGGGGTTTGGACCCCTGGGGGGGTGGTTGGGAGGGGGTGTCAGAAAGATCACCAATGACCACCAGAAAACACAGTATTTTCTGATGGTCATGAGGGTTCTATTAGGGAAGTTTGGCCCAATTCTATTATTGGTGGGGTTCAGAATGCTCTTTGATTGTAGATGAACTATAAATCCCAGTAACTAAAACTTCCAAATGTCAAGATCTATTTTCCCCCAAACTTCATCTGTGTTCATATTTGGCTATATGGACTATTCGTGCCAAGTTTTGTCCAGATCCTTCACTGCTTGAGTCCACAGTGCTCTCTGGATGTAGGTGAACTACAACTCCAAAACTCAAGGTCAATGCCCACCAAAGTCTTCTAGTGTTTGCTCTTGTTCATGGCAGTCCTGTGTGCCAAGTTTGGTTAAATTCCATCGTTGGTGGAGTTCAGAATACTCTTTGATTGTAGGTTAACTATAAATCCCAGCAACTACAACTTCCAAATGACAAAATCATTTTTTAGTGTTGGACACTCCTTGGGTTAGTAGGTGTCTTGTGGCTAAATTTGGTGGCAATTCATCAAGCGGATTTTGAGTTATGATATCACTCAAAACAAACAGAGCATTTCATATATATAGATAAACCTGTCATATGACATCACATTTGAAGTTTCAACAACAAGTTTCAACAACAATAACATAATACTTTGTGTATCTTAGCAATAGATATCTGTGTTTTATATACTGCACCATGTAATAAGGCCAGCACAAAGGCAGTAATAAAGCTTTAGGCAGAACCTGTCAACTACTTTGGATATCTCTCAGAAAAACAAACAAACATTAGTTTGCTGCATTTTTGGCTTTTTTTTTTTTGGTTCTAGAATTTATGCATGTGAACTGTTTTTGATCAAATGTGATATTCACCAAAATGTTTTTGTACAAGCTTGAGCAGATTGTTTTCAAGGGAAAAAACTGATGGTGTTTCGATGATGGTGTTTCGAAAAAGACTGAAGACCTGGATGTTCAAACAGGCATTTGGCTAATTCGGTACAATGAACTGATGACTAATGGATTGGTAATATGGACGATGAAATTGGATTATGATTTTAGTTAAGAGATGCACTGGATTATTATCGACGGGCCAATATTGTCTATTGTGTATGTTGTTTTTTATGGTTTTAATCTGAATATTGTTGTTGTTTGTACTGTTGTAAACCGCGTTGAGTCGCCAATTTAGGCAGAGAAACGGCGGTATACAAGCACAGTAATAAATAAATAAATAAATAAATAAATAACAGTATCTGGTTCATTTTTTCTTTTGAATTTGTTATGAAACAGATGTTGAAACTGCTAGTTTCTATCACTGGGCTGGGTATTCTGATAAAGGAGAGTATGCTTCTAGAACTTGGCCATGTAGCTCGAAAAACGTACAACAACCCAGTGATTCCGGCCATGAAAGCCTTCAACAATACATATTCTGATAAAATTTGTCAATTTTCTACAAGTATAGTCATACTGTCCCCATGAAGGTTAGCATCCTCTTCTAGGGCCAGTTCATCATTAGGCAGAGTGGATTGGCAGCAAACGTTGGGAATGGGGAGAAGCAGTAAAGGGTTGTAGAAAACCACTGAATATGTCCTGTGGACTATAATCTATTCTAGCCTATTGCCTTCAGGCTCAGTAAAGGCAGCCAGAATTGAGGATCCACGTAGTAAGTATATGTGTAGATGGTATGTATGTGTCATTTTTTGTTATAGGTTACAAAGTCTTGGGCTGGTTCCATTTTCCAGTAATGTCTTTCATTCAATAGAGGAAGACTAATTCAAAAAGGAAGTAGTTTGTCACCACATATACACACAGCCTTTGAGAAGCACCTCATATAAGTTTGTCCGACATATGAACTGCACATCTCTAGCTCAATTCCCACATCTGAATTCTGTGTACTCAGTGTCGAAAGATAACCAAATGCCAAATGGTGTCTTCCTAGGCAAAGCCACTTCCCTGAACAAAAATGGATACAGAGATGCTACCAATGAGGAAATATTCCAACAAAGGTAGGTTGGAGTAGGAACAAAAAAAATGAGTGGATTAATTAAGTGCTTAGAGCAAGGATGGGTAGCTATGGGAAACACTATTGAACTGTGTGGTGGAATGTAAAATAAACTATGTGTAGTTCACATTGGATCAACCCACACACTGCCTTGCCAGGGAAAGAAAATATGCCACGCAGATGAGCAATAAAGAACAAGTAGTTTGGTCTTCTTAATTCAGAATAACATACGTAGAATATGATCAGTTGCATCAACTCACTAAATGTCCTTTCATGAGAGATTTAAAATGGTCCTTTCTGTATCCATATGAGAGACCTTTTCAACAGCCAAGAAGCAAATCAGTCTTTCTCTCTCTGTTTCTCTCTCTCTGACCACCTGCAAAGCTTGAGCCTGAACAAAATTGCAATAGTATCCAAAAGTTCTAGGCTCAGCCATCACCCCATGCATTGCCTGACCAATCAGTTTCATGCATTTTATTTTACCGTTGACACACACTCACTCACTGATTCTTTGCATTCTCTACCACACTGCACCTCCCACAGTGCCTTCTAGTGGATGAAAAATGCTGTATAGTATGGCTTTTCTGAACAGATTGGGAACCCCTGGTGCCTATTGTGAAAAGCCTTTGCTAATAAATGAGTACTCTATGCTCTCCACATTTTTGGATTTAACTTTTACAGAATTGATTATTTGTGTGTTTGATTAATGTGACCTTTCAAGGAATCTCTAAGTTCTCCACTGCATCTTTATCATCAACATCTGGCAGGAATTTACCATAAAGTTACACAAGAGGACCTAGAGATTCCTAAAGGGGTGCTCTCAGATTAAAAAATAGCATTTTTTTAAAAAAAAATTCTTAGTGGGAGACTGATTGTATCTAGTTATACCCGATTGTCTCACTTTCTTGCCCTGTTCTGTTTTTGTGCCCCAGCACCCCTCCAAAGCATCTCCGTGAATGTGGCGATCCAAGATTTTGTAGCTGATGTTATGTGTGAGCTTCAGTACAAGAATGAAGGCACCATCCCCTTGGAGGTCATTTTTGACATGCGTCTGGACAAGGATGTTGCTGTTTATGGCTTTGATGGCATCATGGATGGGACACGAATTGAGGCCCAGATCATGGAAAAATGGCAGGTGTGAAGACCAACATGGAGCTGATGGACATGTTGGGGATGCTAATGTTTTAGCCTAATATGACCTTCAAAACTGTATCAGAAATTCTCTGATTTGTTTAGATCTTTTTAAAATACGCAGCCACCAAGTCAGTTAATTTACATGGCTGGAATCAGTTGCAGAAGTCACAAATCAAAGCCTATCCAGGTTATTTTGATGAAACGATTACGAAGATATGACAGTATCTACACTGCCATATAATGTAGTTTCAGAATGTAATGTAACTACATTGAACTGGATTATATGGCAGTGTAAATATAACCCAGTTCAATGCAGTTAAATTGTACTCTGGAATTTTATTATTTGGAAGTGTAGATCCAGCCTCTGATAGATCAAATTGGATCAAGGTAATCTGGACTGAAGCTTTGCTCAGAAATGGAGCTCTTTAAATAAATTTGGGCCGATTGCCAAGCAACTTCAAAGGAATGTAAGAGACATGTAAGAACACGGGGAGGTTGCAGTGATCCCCATACAAATATTTAGCAGTTGGTAACTAACTATGTGTATTCTCACAAACAAGTGGTTGGGATACATTCCCTCACATATATTCATTGTGTGATGAACTAATTTACACTACTTTAGAAACCAGGGGGATATTGAGGTTAAAGGAACAGGAGGGGACAAGTGCATTCCCGATCCGTTTTGTTGACTTTTTTGTTTGCCCAATATTTCTGTGCCTATTTTCTTTCTTTTCTCTGGTCCTCTCCAGGTAGCAGAAAAGGTAAAGGAAAACTGGGGAAAAGATGCTGCACTCTTTAAATGGGATCCAAAGAACAGAGACATTTTTGGATGCATACTGGGTAGCCTTCCTCCAGGTGGGGAAGCCACATTGAAGTTGAGTTACATCCAACCTTTGGTTCCAGCATCTGATGGGTCTATCCGTTTTGTCCTGCCAGCTGTACCAAATCCCTGCAATGGACCTCAGGGTAAGAAGCTCCATTGTCACGTGCCAGCGCCTTCTTTGTACCCCCACAAACATTCCCCACTAAGGTTTTTTTATTCTGTCCCAACTCTCACTATTTAAGTCTTTGATGTCTATATAAGCTTCTTTTCCACAGCATCAGAAACTAAAATTTGCACCTGGAAATCCACATGTCTAGCGTTTTCCTGTATGTTTGTACTACCTTTGCTTGTGAAACTTCAAAAGATGAAAGAAATAATTTTGATTGCATCTAATGAATGTATCACTACAATATGGACTATGCAATGTGCTTATGGTCCATAAAGTTGCTCCTGTATTTACTGAGGTAGCTACACCTGTCTTATGATTGCTCACATTGTTGCAGTGCTATTAATTTGGGGCCATGGTTTATGTAATTCAACAGATCAGGCCAGTGAAGGCTTTCTTTGTAATTACAGCTGAGAGTCTGCTTGGAGGTTTGTCATGGGCCGGGCTGTAGCACAGCAGGTTAAACCACCAACTGCAGGAAATCTTATCAGTCAGAAGGCTGCACGTTTGAAGCCCGGGTCAGGGTGAGCTCCTGGCCTTTAGCCCAGCTTTCGCCTACCAAGTGGTTTGAAAGCAAATGTGAGTAGATAAATAGGTACCACTTAATAGTGGGGAGGTATTCTGAGGCACCCATAAGGAATACTGGTGATTCGATCAAAGGAGGAAGTCACAAACAAAGTTCTTCAGCAGAGAGATGGAGCGGCAACCCCCCCCCCCTGGCCAGAACTGAGCACAATGCCTCCAATATGCTGAAGATGGGGGAGGAGCTGGTATATACCTCTATCTACGTAGAATTGTCTGTCTTGTCTGTGTATAAAACGACATTGAACGTTTGCCGCATATGTATGTTCTGTGATCCACTCTGAGTTCCCTTCGGGGTGAGAAGGGCAGAATATAAATACTGTAAATAAATCATAAATGAATGTGCTCCCCATTAGTTTTTATTGTATCCCTCTGTGCAGGATCAGAAGATGAAAATCCCATGCATGTCACACCTGAGATTCCTGAGGAGCAACTTCCTTGTCCACTTAATCTATCTGCTGCATTGGGTTCTTCCTATGCCATCTCCCATGTGAAGTCAAATTATGCCCTTGCAGGTTTTCGGTACACAACTGAAAACCACACCACTGCTCAGGTGAGAACACGGATATGCTGAAGAGTTTTCATTCAGCATTTCCAGAAAGAGTGTTTTAAACTTTCTCTCTTTGGAAAGGCACACGTATTGATGCTCTTGTTAGCCATACTTTGATCTATCAGTTTTGTTTTGAAGGTACACCATAAACATCTGCCTACTGGATAAAAAAAAACTTGAGAAACTCAGGTTGAAGCTCTGAGATCTGGCAGATCTATACACTGCCACCAGTATCACGAGAGACTTTGGCCTCTATCAGTTACATGGTGAATAGCAGATGTCCCTGTTCTTCATCATTTTATTGTCCAAAGCAAATAAATAGATTTAAAAAATGATGTCTAAAATGCTATGGTGTATACAAACCAGACAGCTAAGGTCTGATAGCCCTAGTCATGGCTGGTATGCATAGGTAAATTTATCTTCTAATGAATTGTCTAACTGTTCAAAGGCATTCATATTGGCAGTAAATTCCATAAACTAACTATGCAGTATGTGTAGAAGCACTCCCTTTTTATTGTGTGGGATTTTCTACTACTTAGTTCCATCAGATGAACCTAGGTTCAAGTAATAAGTAGGTAGATGAGTCAGTGAAAGAAAAGACAACTCTTCCTACCCACTTGCTTCATACCATATATCACTTTGTATTACTTTATTACATGCTCCTTTGTTCCCATTATTCTGTTATATACAGACTGTACATTTAATAAACTATAAAGTTTATATATGTATGTTCTCTTGTTTGCATTTTTCTAAATTGAGATGTAGAAATTTTCGGAATGTCATATCAAACCATTAACTTTGGCTTCTCTTTAATGTTACTCAAGGTTTGCTTGGCAGAAGGACATTACTTTGAGCAAGATGTGGAATTGCTAATATATTATGAAGAAGAATTTCACAAGCCTGTGGCCCTGGTAGAACGTGGAAAACCTGAGAATGTTCCAGGTGAGCAAGATGGTGGTAAGGAAGCCTTAGAAGTTAAGTTTGTGGGCATTATATAGGATATGAATGCCTGCTTCACTTGGTCTCCAATTGCATGTGGAAATGTCTCCTGATAGCAACTCATTACCTCTTTTGCAATATAGGTTCATTGATGGGAGATCCAGTGCTTCTGCTTAGTTTTTATCCCCAGATCTCCACTCCAAAGCCAGGAATGAACTCTACTGGTGAATTCTTGTTCCTGATGGATTGCTCCAACGACATGTCTTACAGCACCGAGAGGAACCCAGATTCTCAATCTCGTATTCAGAGTGCTAAGGTGCCACCAGACTGGAGAAAAATGGGATCCAGTGGAAGCAATTCTGAACAAAGAGGGATATTCACGGATGAGCAGAATCTAATAAATTATCACAGATGAGCAATTGGAAAGGGTTGATGGGAGGCAGCTGGAATCATAGACAGCAGAAGATTCAAATGTCATAAAACTAGATTCTCCAGTGTTAAATTGAAAGTTGTCGTTGGCCATAGTTATTTCATCATATACAGTACAGATTATTTGCAGATGTTCTTTCTAGGAATCTATAGGTCCTCCAGCATGACTCTTTGGATCAAACTTTGCAAAACACTGATTATGAAATCATGCTGGAGGATCTAGAGATTCCTAAAGAAGTGTCCTTTCAGGCAAAACATGGTATTTTAAAATATATATCCCACTGTTCTCCTTACCCAAACAAATGTGGAGGGTCTAGTGTATATGCGTCATGCTTAGGATTATATGCCTTATTACTAAAATAGAGTTAAATTGGGATACCAAGATTATCTGAGACTATTAACTTTTGTCTTAGGAGATGGTTATTTTCTTGTTGAAGAGCCTCCCTCTAGGATCTTACTTCAACATCTATGCATTTGGATGCAACTACTATTCATTTTACCCGTAAGTATCAACAGAATCACATTGCTAACGTGTGACTTGGGCCTCCTTCATAATGTTTTGCCTTCTGCAGCATTTATCAACATCCACATTATGAAAATAGAATGACTTCCTTTCTCTTGGATTTTACAAATTTATTTTAAGGACGCTGAACAAATATACATAAGATCTGTTCCCTCTCCTCATCTTTAAAATTGATCCAGGATTGGATGGGTTGGAGTGAGGCTAGATTAGCTACATTTGGTTCCCAGGAAATAAAATCAGAAAGGATGAGCAATTGGGTGAATGCATACTATTGATTTTTGCAGCACTTGAATTTTTTGGTCCCCTGTCAAGAATAACAGTAGCCTACCACCCCACCCTGCCCTGCCCTCACTGAACCTTATCTTCTTCTGCTCTTTAAGCCACTCTTCATAAAGCTTAACTTCTAGACCCTTGATCAGTTTGGCTACCTTCCACTGGACAAGTTCCAGCTTGTCAATATAATTCCTGAACTGTGGTGCCTAGTAATGAGAACAGTATTCCAGACATGGTGTGAACTAATGTGGGAACTGGGAAAGGATGGAGATCTTATTATTTGGCTTAGGGATGGGTTCCTTTACTTTTTTTCACCTGAAACATTTGATCACTTGGGTTGGTATGGAGCTGGATAGGGAAATTCTGCAGCTACAGGGCTGACTGGTGGGAGAGACTAGAGTGTGGGAATTCAGCTCTTTGAGTCAAATATTCTGTGTTGACCTTGGCAGAAAGAGTGTCAAGTACACACAGTGGACCATGTTGGATTCCCTCCGGCGTGTGATGGGGCTGAAGGCTAATTTGGGAGATGCCGAAATTTTGCAACCACTGAAGGCAATTTACAGCCAGCCATGCATTGAGGGATATGCACGTCAGGTACTGAAATCACTACTGGGTGGAATTTACTGGGTGTGTAATGCCAGGCTGATTGTACAGTATCTCCAATGTTTCTTGTTCCTTCCTCAGAAATTTTTCCTTACACTGTGGTATGCTTTCTATGATAAATCGTTTTTCATAAAGCCTTAAATGTTTTTTTGTGATCGGACGTAAAAAAGCAGAGATGATTGGTCTGTGGTTTGTGCTGTTTTGGTAACAATATTAAACTTAACCTGCCAGCCGCCTTAAAAAAAAAAACCCTTGGTTATCACATGCGATGGGTACAAGATGAAGGGACCCTAAACAAATGCCAGAAATACAAGAATGGATGCAGCTAGTTTCACAGGACACCATCTGTGTGGCCATGGCATATGCTGCAAACATACATCCAAAATAACTGAATCTGTAAATCACAATGATCAACAAAGATATATCCTGACCCACTTTAGCATATGTGTAATAACAGTTTTGTAATTTAGCCATTCAATGCAAGTGTCCCCCCCCCCCCATTTATTGTGTCAGAAGCAAATTGAGAATACAGTTAGAAAGTTTTAAAAAAGTTAAAAACTTGGCATTATACTAAATTTCCTTTGACCAGAAGCTGGCCAGTTGGAGTGTCTCTGGTGTTGCTGTAAGAAGGTCCTCCATTGTGCATGTGGCAGGCCTCAGGTTGCATTGCAGTAGGTGGTCTGTGGTTTGCTCTTCTTCACACTCACATGTCGTGGACTCCACTTTGTAACCCATTTCTTAAGGTTAGCGTTGCATCTCATGGTGCCAGAGCGCATTCTGTTCAGGGACTCGCAAGTTGCCTAGTCTTCTGTGTGCCCAGGAGGGAGTTTGATGCAAGTGTAGAAATCTGTATATGAGGAGAACTCAATACCTCTAAAACAAATAGGGACAGACTCTTTATTCACTTTTAATTTCCCTCTTTCTCTTCAGCTCTTTGTATTTGCACATAGGGAGACATCTGACATGAACGAAGTCATTGCTGAAGTTGAAACTCACAGCAGCTCCCACAGGTCAGAATTGAATATCAGCTGGTGCATGCCAATTGCTTTCTAGTTTAGTGAAAGGATGGAGCCACAGCATATTCAGATATTGGTTGGTCACAGGTGGAGCTTTGAGAATACAGGAATGTGAAGTAATTTTTGAAGTGTTAAAACTTAGTGCTCACTTTCTTGAGAAACATGGAAGGACAGACTGCATTGAAAAGGAGTGAAAATACTAGAAGCTTTAATGGGAGATGCTGCTTGCAATACCTCATTCTCCTTTAAAGCAGGTTTTTGATCTGTTCTCTTTGTTCCCTCATCTACAGGTGCTTCACCTTTGGAATTGGTGAATGGCCTGCCACCCATACACTAAATGGTATGGCTAAAGTAGGCCATGGCTGTGCTGAGTTCATCAAGGACACAAAGAAAATGCCATCCAAAGTGAGAAACATCCAGGCAGTTGGTTTTCTCTTCATGATACACTAGACCTACCCAGCACAGGAAGAGCTAGAGATCCATGGGAAAATACAAGTTCAACTCCAAATGTCCCAGGAAGGGTTGAGATGGAATGATATTTGGAATCCTGTAGAGAGACTGCCCATTTAGATGATTCTCTAAGCTTATAATTTGTGGTTTCTGCAAGAACACTTGTCTCTGTAAGGTGGGAGAAATGGAAAATTTCACCATTATTCTTCCATTAAAGAAGAAGTAGTGGCAACCATAAAGTTTGGAGTATTGTTTTATCATAAAACAATAAAGCAAAGGAAAGAGGGAAAGCTGAAGAAGAGAGTAGAGTGTGTTTGGTTTCTTTTTGAAATGACATGTTCAAGGTGAGAACCCCAGCTTTACTCTGGGATCTTTTGCATTCCTCAGGCATTGCAGTCGATGAAGAAGGCCCTGGATCCAGTAATGATGGACATCTCTATTCAATGGGATTTGCCTTCTGGGCTTGAGGCCCGGCTTGTACAACCAATCCCTCAGGTCATTTACACAGGAGAATGCTCTCTGATCTGTGCTCAAATCTGTGGGCAACAGCAGGCAAGTAACTCAAACCAGTAACCTAAGTTAAAGGCGTGAAATGTGGTGTGGTGGGAAAGAATGGAAAAATCAATGTAAAATAAGCAACACTAGTTAAGAGATAAATTGTGGCAAGTTCTTGGTGGTATGGGCATACCAAGCCACCTTGTCTCTCTCCTGAGGAATCTGTATAAGGACCAAGTAGCAACAGTAAGAACTGACCATGGAACAACAGGCTGGTTCAAGAGTGGGAAAGGCGTACAGCAGGGTTGTATACTCTCACCCAAACTATTCAACTTGTATGCAGAACACATCATGCGATGTGCAGAACTTGACGAATGCAAGGCTGGGGTGAAAATTGCTGGAAGAAACATTAACAACCTTAGATATGCAAATGACACCACTTTGATGGTTGAAAGCGAGGAGGAGCTGGGGTGCCTTCTAATCAAGGTTAAAGAAGAAAGCGCAAAAGCTGGGTTGCAGCTAAACATAAAAAAAAACAAGATTATGGCAACAAGAATTATTGGCAACTGGGAAATAGAGGGAGAAAACGTGGAGGCCGTGACAGACTTTGTATTTCTAGGTGCAAAGATTACTGCAGATGCAGACTGCAGCCAGGAAGTCAGAAGACGTTTCCTTCTTGGGAGGAGAGCAATGACCAATCTCGATAAAATAGTGAAGAGTAGAGACATCACACTGGCAACGAAGATCCGCATAGTTAAAGCCATGGTATTTCCTGTAGTCACCTACAGATGTGAGAGCTGGACCATAGGGAAGGCTGAGCGAAGGAAGATAGATGTTTTTGAACTGTGCTGCTGGAAGAAAGTTCTGAGAGTGCTTTGGACTGTGAGAAGATCCAACCAGTCCATACTTCAGGAAATAAGACCCGACTGCTCATTGGAGGGAAGGATAGTAGAGATAAAGATGAAGTACTTTGGCCACCATGAGAAGAAAGGAAAGCTTAGCGAAGACAATTATGCTGGGAAAATGGAAGGAAAAAGGAAGAGGGGGTGACCCAGGGCAAGATGGATGGATGGCATCCTTGAAGTGACTGGATTGACTTTGAAGGAGCTGGGGGTGGTGACGGCTGACAGGGAGCTCTGGGCTGGTCCATAAGGTCACGAAAACTACTGAACGAATGAACAACAAAAAGTTAAGAGATCACATGCACCGTAACTGGCAAGGGACAGGTCCCAGGTAATTCTTTGCTCTCCCACTTTTTCAGCTACTTTCAAAAAGTTCCCATTTCTTTCTTCCTTTTATGAACCAAAGGATTCTTTCCAATTGTCCCTGATCTCTTTCCCTTATCCCTTAGCTGCAATTTCACTTACAGCTTAAAACCCGAGAGTGTGAGAAAGCTTATTTATCTCAAAGCATTTGACCAGAACAGTGACTAGTGAGTTTGACTTGGGTTGTTGTTGGTTTTATAATCTGAACCATTAAGTTTTCTTGCATTGACAAAGGATTGGTTGGTGCCTGCTGGTAGAGCAGTTTGGTTTTTTGAACCAACTAATGGAACAAATGGCCAAGGTCTGTAGCAAGTTATCAATGTAGCAAATGTATTACAATCTAATTAAAATATTCAGGATTCCACAATCCCCATATCTGTACAAGCCAAATAAAACATTCTCACCTCTCAGATGCTGTGAGCAGTCCAGATGAAATATGGGCAGGAAAAATGCTGATTCCAGACTTTAATCTGCCACAAAATGAACTGCAAATTTTTCCAAAGTGATCCCCATGGTTTTGATGTGTGGACAGATGGATTGGGTCGGGTCAGTGGAAATGAACTGCACATTTTTCCAAAGAGATCCCTTTGGTTTTGATATGTGGACAGATTGGGTGGGTTGGATGGAATCCACTGTCTAAACATCTAAAGGATCCACTGCTGTTTCACTGGCCAGAAGTAGCTCGCTGGCAGAGCCTTGTTGAGGAAGTCATTTCTGATGATAATATGACAGGTCTCCCTGTTGTGACCCCACCAGAAGCAATGTTGCCAGCAAGGTTTTTCCAGAGAGCTACTTCTGGCTGATGAAACAGTGGCAACGGTGGCCCCAATACATGATGCATTATCATCTTGGCCTATGGTATGGACTGCAATACGGTTTTTGGGAACTGTTTAGCCTGTTTGTGTGGTTGCCCCATGGAGCAGGCTACTCCAGATTAATTCACCATGGTGTAAATGCATCCTTAGCTCTATATTTACTATCATTGCTTGCTCATGCAGAAAGTAGTGTGTTCCACATAACTAATTTTGCATGGTTCTTGTTCATATGGAGTACCTTAATGAAAACAGAAACTTGTATCCTTCAATTAGGTCACCTCCCATGTGAGAAAAGGATGGCAGAAGGTGATGGAAGTTTCATGTTTATGAAATAATGATGTGTACTGCCTGAAGTCAGGGCTTTAGCCTTTGTGTTTAGATGTCCTAATCTTTATTGTTGGCTTCTTCCATCTTTTCATGACCTGATAGGATGTCAGCCTCTCTGAGGGATCTGTTGTGGTCCAGCACAGCATACAGGGGTGGACTTTCACAGAGAGGATAGCCTTCTCACTCCGGGCAAAGGAGAATAAAAGGTTAGAATCTTTTCCTCTCAGTTAGGAAGTTCTTCCTAATGTTCTGGTGGAATCTCTTCTCCTGTAGTTTGAAGCCATTGTTCCATGTCCTAGTCTCCAGGGCAGAAGAAAACAAGCTTTCTCCCTCCTCCCTATGACTTCCCCTCACATATTTATACATGGCCATCATGTCTCCTCTCATGGAGGAGGGCAGAAGAAGGTGCCTTTTAGTTTCTGAAATGGAAGGAACAGCGAGTGAGATGGGAGAGGAAGAGTGACATATGGAGGGGGTTAGGATGAGCAGGAAAACATCTGAGACACATTGAGTGAAGTGAGTCAAAGCAGAAAAATGTTTGGTGTGTGTGTTTGTGTGACAGTATGGACAATTTCTACCACAAGTTGACACTGAGCCAACTTTGGTGATTATAGGAAGTTGACCATAGAGTTGTGTTAGAGAATTTAGAGGTTCCTACAGTGGTGTTCTCTCAGATTGAAAAAAAAGCCCACATTTTCTTTGTATTTTCATGGAAGTCCTGTGCTCCTATTTCCAGTGTACCTTATAAAGGCTCGTATATGGCACCACTAATATATCTTGACAGGGGGCAAACAGATCCCACCAACTGTCTCTCCTCAATATAAAGAATTCACTGGCACCAATATAACGTTAGGAGGGGATGATTCTCTAATTAATTTTCGCTGCCACCATAAACTGCAATGCACAGGAACACCCTAGCTGCTTAAAATATTAAAAATGCTTTTAAAGATCACCAAACACTGTGTCTTCTTATTATTTGCTTCTATAAAGGAAACTTAGTTGAGATTATTTGAAAAGAGACTATAGCCACAAAAGGCACACTTGACTCAGGCTTTTTGAGTTTTAAAGTAAACAAGGAAAGTTTATTGATAAAAATACAGAAGAGAATAAATGCTGGTTGAAATCTTGGCTGTTACATAGAAATTCTGGTTTGTGTTCAAAGCGTAATGGTTACATGTAATGGCTCTTTCTTTGTTACAGATACAGAGATTTTCTTCCCTTTAACAACAAGTACACTTGACAGGAGCTGAATCTCTGTCAAGATACAACTGTAGCTTAGCTACCCTAAACTGAGGCCTAGCTAACTACAAAAAAAACCAGCTATCTTTTGCTGGCAAACCTAAGGCAAACTGCCTTCTCTTAACTAATCTTAAGACACGAACTCCTAAACTACCTTCCTACTCTAATCTCCAACAACACCAGACTGACTGAAAAAGCCCTCTTCTTTCCCTCCAAACCTTGCTAAACTCCACCCCATTTTCTGAACCAATCCTGGCTGTTCTAATGCTAACTCAGGCCTAGGACACTCCCCCTCTCTAAAATGGTGTTTGCCCTGAACTAAAATGGCTCCTGCTGTTTTCTGCCAGGCCCACTAAAGCTGCAACTAACTGGCCTGATTCTCCTAGGCCCTGCCATCCAGGCTGGCAAGGTAAGGGATCTTTACATACCTGAGGGGAGGGAGGGAAAGACTGTAGTGAAATGGTGGCACAAGGCATTTCATCACCAACATGGGGATCATCAGACTACTTAGGTTAGAAATCAAATCTATTTCATTGTCATTTATGAACAAGAAAACTCCTAAATTCCTATTGTCTTGTGCCCCTAAGGCGAGTGGATGTCAATAGCTGACTAATCTTGTATCTGAAATTGGCTTACTGACAATTGGACAGCACAAGAAGACCTCCATCTGAAACTACCCATAGTTTCTTGGTAAGAACTTGATTGAGATAGGGAAGAGTTCCTATCATTACACAAGGAACCATGTTTGCTTTCTGAAGACCTTAAATATGTACCCTATATATGAACCAGGGTACATACACTAGTAATCTTTGTGTTCTAGAATGAATTGCTACTCTTATTCCTGGAAGAAATGAAATGACTTATTTCAACACTTTCTCGACAACCCTCTTTCCTCCTAAAGGTTATTGTGATTTTACTATGCTCTATTTCAGATGCACCTGCCTCTCTCTTCTCTTGCTGTTTATCTCTACAGGTTTCCTCTTCACTGCCTGGCAGCTCGGGCCTTTTTGCAAGAACGGAAAGGAACACATTCAATGGAAGAGATGCAGCTGGCTATAGAGACAAGCCTGAGCTCTGGAGTGTTGTGCTCTCAGACGGCTTACTTGGTGGTGGACACAGAACCTGGAAAACTGTTCCAAAGCCACATTTACTTCCAAAATCTCTTTGGTTTTTGGGGGCCTTATGATTTGCGCACATATGATGACATAATAGAGCTAATAGAATATAAAATGAGTTACGTATATTACAGCTGACAATAGCTGCTTGTATTGACAGGATGGAAGAATGCAGTTGGTGTGCATCTACATTGTTTTATGTGTGCTCTACCTGCTCCACTTTCCCCCTTTGCTTCCATTGGTGCAAAAAGTAAACTGCTGCAGCCTTTCCTAGCATGTGTTTCCTTCCTCATCAATAGCTTTTGCCATCTTGACCACTGCATGATCACATGTGTCCCAGTTTCATCTGTGAAATGTTGGAAAGGAAGATACATTAAGGCTCCCATATCTGTGGGGAATTTGTTCCTGAAGGTTACATGAAACCGTAACTATGACCAAATGCTTTTTGGAACCCAACTACATCCTACACAATGCTGTAATCCTCATCAAGGACTTAGCACAGTGATTCTCAACCTAGTTCTTAGTTGAGGCCAAAGGGAAACATTTCCAATCATAGCTGTGGTCTGTTTCTCTTTCCAGAAGAAGAATCTACTGGTGTAATCTTTTCTACAACTTCCTGTCAATGGCATCGCTGTCGTTCTCTATGTAGAAATACCTGCTTGTTCAAGAAATTTCACAAAATATCTGAATTTTTGAGGAAGGCTTATTATTCAGCATCCACTGTCCTTGCCAGTAGTGACTTAAGTTGGAAAAGGTATTCTACCACTGATGACTTCCTTCTTGCTTATAGTGCAATCTTTGATCAACCTGGTCCCCCAAGTAAGTCTAAAAACCAAGAAAATTATTTTGTGCTTTTCTCAATTCAATTCTGACTCTTGAGTTTCCTATGATTTAATTTGCAGATTTTGTTCCCATTATTTTGCTCATGATGAAGATGTATTGCGAGGGAGGGGGGGAGAGTGAAATGAGAAGTACAGAGAGCCAACAATTGGAAGTGAATAGCAAAAGTCTAGAATTTGTGCTAATAATTGTTCCATTTTCTAGCTATGTATTTATTTCATGGCTGGAATCTTGAACGTTCTGAGCCTGTTGACTACTACGAAAACAGTGAAAGGATATGTAGCACCATTACAACATGCCTACCATGTTGGGGCAGAAAATATAAACAACTCATGGGTCAAAAATTATTTCCATATTTTTTTTTTCAAATTAATTTTCTCTATTCCAAGATGTGGAGGTGATGATTTATTTATGTAATGCTATCAAGTATACATATGTGACATGTATACACAAGTGTAACATTTGCCATGTCTAAGAGGGGCAAAACTTGATGGGAAGGTGACTGGTATATTATTAAGGATATAAATGTTTCTGGAAAGCCTGAAAGAAAACTTGTTTGGTTGAGGATACACAGTCCAACATGGTAAGGCTGTGGCATTATTTGAATTCTTGAATTCATATCTTGCTTGTGTCTATGTTACTCCAAAGGTGACCAAAATAGCTGAGCTTTGTCAAAATCTATCAACTTATTTATTTATTTATTCCGAACATTTCTATCCCGCCTTCTCAACCCCCGAAGGGGGACTCAGGGTGGCTTACAAAAGGCACAATTCGATGCCAGCAATACACATGGTAGGATAAAATACATAGCAGTGACAGTTATAAATAGTTAAAACAGTCCAATTATACAATAACAACTAAGAAAAGCCAATCTAGTGATCAACGTTCGCCAAGTTCAAAATCCGTAAGTTCATTCCACATTGTCATAATCCTATCCAACTCTAGTCATCATTGTCCTTTGACTGTCTGCCAGATTACCCAAAGGCCTGGTCCCATATCCATGCTTTTAGTTTCCTTCTGAAAGAGAGGAGGGATGTCGATGACCTAATTTCCCCGGGGAGCGAATTCCACAGGCAAGGGGCCACCACCGAGAAGGCCCTGCTCCTCGTCCCCACCAACCTCACTTGTGATAAATCAACATAGAGAATGTTATGTTTATAAAGCTTGTTATTTGTTTTATAATACCGATTCATTGGGATTTGCTTCACTTGAATTTATTGTACTGTGTGTTGACTGCTTTGATATACCCCTACAGCAAATGAAAATCTTGTCTTAAGGCTGATCTGCTTGCAGAATGCTGATGGATCTTGGCCCCTGGACACCTGTTTGCTCAATATTCTAGGTCTAAATGAAGAGACTTTTGAGAAGATGCCTAACCAGGTAGGACATCTGGAAAAACCCCTGTAGGACTAGCATTTTAGGTCTTCATAGCAAAGGTGGCAATACCCATCTATATACAAGGTGCCTGTGTTGGGCTACTACTGGACTGGACATGAATAAGCAACAGTGAAGGCTTTTGTTTGGATGTTGGATAGCCATATATTGTATTGTACAATTTTCCATGGCAGGGGATTGAACTGAATGACCTTTGTGGCTTCTTCCAACACTATGATTCTATGAGTATTATTTCATATGATTTTTTTCCTCTCCCCTCTGCATTAATCCAGGTGGCACCAATGGCATGGGCAACAGTTCTTGTTATCCTTTGGCTTCATATCCACACTGCAGAAGAGAGTGACATTTCACAGCTCCTGCAAGCAAAAGCTTTGGGCTGGCTCCATGAGAATGCAGGTGAGAGAACGTGAGGCACAAACAAAGGAACATTGAAGATTATGGTGATGCTAATGAAAGTAATGAATGCATAGGGGAAGAAGACTAAATTGACCTATGTGGAACAATATCTCTCTTTTTCCTGAAGTGAAGGGAGTGGAGAAGCTGTGCATCAAAATAGGAAGGGAGGTGTGAATTGTAATGTTCAGAAATGGTAGGTTACATACCTGTGACCATCTTTCTTCGAGTGGTGCTCTGCGAATTCACACTTGTGGAGAGACTGCGCCTGCGCGGGCTCCAACGGAAACTTCTACTTTTTTAAAAAACTTTCAAGTTTTGGCGGTAACCCCGCCCAGCCCCGGCAGGGGATAAAAGGGCGCCCCGCGCACACCGATCCAATTCCTACGCCGCTACGGTAGCGAGAAATTGGAGGTTTGCTAGAGGGGAGGCCGGGCGGGTTAGTGTGAATTCGCAGAGCACCACTCGAAGAAAGATGGTCACAGGTATGTAACCTACCATTTTTCTTCGTGGTCTCTGCGAATGCACACTTGTGGAGACTAGCAAGCTCAGGTCCCGGAGGCGGGAAGGAAGCAAACCGACCATTGAAGTCAAGGGCCAAACAATTTTATTTAGTGCAAAAACGTTACCAACAAGAGCTTGTAATCACTTCCGAAGAAGGGCATAGTGCATGACAAGAGATTGCAATCACTTCCAAAGAAGGGCACAGTGCATAAACTTAAGGGAGTACGTGTTCCTCCCGGTCACGTGATGGTGACCAACAATTGAATAAACTCATGACCCTTGAATAAATAACATGGTGATTATTGCAGACACTCATAAGAATGAGGGCACATTAAGTGGTTACACAAAAACAGTTCATCAACAAGTGCAAAAAAACACATTTGCAGGTAAAGCCATCGATAATGACACAGAAGTACCCCTGATGAGCCCATCAGGGTATAGTGCAATGATTGCCTGCGCCTCAGGCAAGAAAAGGCATCGAGTGTAAAGGTGCAATTACATTCGCTAGCCCAACAATAACACTCGGGGTCAAGTAATAACATGGTCAGAAAGATTCACAATAACATACAGTATCGACGAAAAACATTCGGTACCGATAAGGCACACAAAAAATTGCAAGGTTCAAGCAGGGCATGAGCCCAGAACTGCCCTCCCAAAGGCCATGTCAGGTGTATACCTGGTGTTCAGTCTGTAATGTGAAACAAATGTCTGAGGATTCTTCCAAATGGCCGCCTTGCAAATAGCGTCCAGGGGAATCCCCTTAAGAAAAGCCGTGGAGGCCGCCATAGCCCTGGTCGACCGAGCCCGGACGACCGAGGGGGGTTGTCTTCGAGCCAACTGGTAACAAAGCTCGATGGTCGAAGTGATCCAGTGCGACAAGCGTTGCGCCGTGATCGGCAGGCCCACCTTATCCGGGGCATATGCAGCAAAGAGTCTCTGAGTCCGTCGAGACTGAGCAGTCCTGTCCTTATAACACAGCAAAGCTCTCCGCACATCGAGCATATGAAGTCTCTTCTCCTCTGGGGTAGAGGGGAGCTGACAGAAGGATGGGAGGATAATGTCCTCATTAACATGGAAGGGGGACACAACCTTAGGGAGGAATGTCACATCTGTGCGGAGAACTGCTCTGTCCTCGTGGACAACAAAGTAAGGTTCGTCCACCCGCAATGCCGCGAGCTCCGACGGTCGTCGTGCCGAGGTGATAGCGACCAGAAAGGCCACCTTCCATGACAACAGCCGAAGATCGATCAACGCCAACAGCTCGAATGGTGGTTCTGCGAGCCGAGCCAGCACGAGGTCGAGGTCCCATCCCGGGGTCGGAGAACGAACCGGGGATGCAAGTTGTTGAAACCCCGTAAAAAGGATTTCACAGAGCTGTCCTTAAACAAGGAGGCTTCACCTGCCCGCTGCAGCTGTCGTGAGATGGCTGCCAGGTGGGACTTGAGAGACGATAGCGACAAACCTCGTTCGGTAAGATGCAGCAAGAACGAGAGGATCGTCGGTATCGAAGGCCGATGGTCGTCTAGGCCCTTCTCGGCGAGAAAAGCCTGGAAGCGGTTGAGGCACGCCGAGTAGCACTTCTTGGTTGCCGGTTTATGGGCTGCCTCCAGGATAGGAAGGACTCCTGGGCACAGGGCTCTTAAAACTGGATCCTCCACGCCGAAAGATGCAGAGAAGCGAGGTCGGGGTGGAGAAGCTGACCGTCCTCTCGGGAGAACAGATCCTGCCGAAGTGGAAGGCGTTTCATCCGCCCCTCGGACACCTGGAGTAGGACCGAGAACCACGGTTGTCTTGGCCATTCCGGCGCCACCAAGATGCAGTTCGTTTGCGCCGACTGGATCCTTTCGATCACCCTCGGGATGAGCGGGAAGGGAGGGAAGAGGTAGAGCAGATGCCTTGACCAGTCTAACAGGAACGCGTCTCCGAGGCATCCCGGTACCGTGTTCGGAGCAAGTCGAGCACCGAACTGAGGGAGCTGAGCGTTTTGCGGCGACGCGAAGAGATCTGCGACTGGAAGGCCCCACTCCTCGAAGATCTTTGCCAGCACATCGGGGTTCAACTTCCACTCGTGAGATGTTGCCCTGGTTCTGCTGAGTGCGTCGGCCTCGGTGTTGCTCTCGCCCGGGAGGTGCAGTGCTGTTATCGACACCGACCTGGCTACACACGAGTCCCAAAGCTCCATTGATAGCTTGAGGAGTTTTCTCGAGCCCGTTCCGCCCTGCTTGTTCACGTAGAACATTGCCACCATGTTGTCCGTGAGAATTTGGACGGACTTGCCGGTAACCAGGAGGGCAAATGCTCTCAGGGCCTTGAATATTGCCAGCAGTTCTAGGTAATTTATGTGGCATTGTCTTTCTTGTGGAGACCAGAGATCGTGAACCGAGAGGTCTCCTTTATGGCATCCCCATGCGAACATCGAGGCGTCCGTCGTGATCGTGACGGCCGGGGGCTCTGGGTGAAAGGGAATGCCCTTGCAGACATGCTGGCGGTTCATCCACCAGCTCAGAGAGTCCTTCACTGGCCTCGGTACCAGTAGGCGCTTCGTGGCACTGTCCCGCATGGGGTTGAAGTGGTCCAAGAACCATCTCTGGAGGGGGCGGAAGCGGAGTCTTGCCAACGGTGTCACCATCACCGTGGAGGCCATGTGTCCGAGGAGAACTTGTATCTGTTTGGCCGAGGTCACCCGAGAGCGACGGACCTTGAGTGCCTCGGCTCGAAGAGCTCTGAATCTCTCCTCTGGGAGGGAAACTGTCTGGGAGAGAGAATCGAACATGGCGCCGATGAATTTTATGCAAGTGGTGGGTTCGAGATGGGATTTTTCCTCGTTCAACTGGAGGCCCAGGTCTTCGAGGAGGGAAAGCGTCCTTGCCACCTGAACTCTCAGGAGGTCCGGGGAGCGTGCTGCCAACAACCAGTCGTCTAGGTAAGGGAAAATGCGAATCTTTTCCCTTCTGAGGGCTGCTGCGACCACCGACATGCATTTGGTGAAGGTCCTCGGTGCCGTCACGAGACCGAAGGGAAGGACATCGAAATTGTATGACTGTCCCGCTACCCTGAAGGCCAGGAAGCGCCTGTGATGTCTCCTGACTGACAGATGAAAGTAAGCGTCCCGGAGATCGACGGACGCGAAGAAGTCCCCGTATCTGAGGAGAGGAAGAATGGACGATACCGTCACCATCCGAAACTTTTGGGGTTCGATGAAAAAGTTTAAGTCTCTGAGGTCGAGGATGGGGCGGAGGGAGCCATCCGGCTTTGGGACAGTAAAGTATCTGGAGANNNNACAGAGGGGGCCATTTGGCTTGGAGGAGCTGGCTGTGAAAAGACGCTCTTCTGTATATGTGTAAAAGAGAGAGAGAGAGCGAACGAAATGACAGAAAGAGACTGAGTAACCCACGCCTGCTTTCATTCACATCCCAAGTGAGCTCAGCTGGAAGAAAACCGAGCAGGAAAAACAGACTAAACATGTTAAAAGGCGGCCCGTTTTTCCAAGGAGCCAGTGGCGGCAGTGGCCCGGTGCCCACCTGTTTGGCCACACGGCCTCCATGTGCCTGTGGGAACCGCCTCGTCTCCCCATTGGCCGGGATCTCTGTGGCGGAGCCGGAGCCGGATCATATTTTTACACTTTGGAGTGTTTATGGAGTTTTGCTACAGATGCAGCTGTGTGCTGTCAGCCACAAGTGAAAGCTTCATTGTACACAGCTCAGGGGAGCGAGAGGAACCCGCACTTGGAAGCCAAAGTCTTGAAGTCGTGATTTGACTTCAGTTTGTCGTCCGTCCCAGCATTGAAGAGCCCCAGGGCATCAAAGGGAAGGTCTTCGATCACCTGCCTCGATGAAGTAGAGAGGCCAGAGGATCTAAGCCATGCATGCCTTCTGATTGCCACTGCATGAGCAATCATTTTTCCGGCAGTGTCCCCTGTGTGCTTGGCCATCTGCATCTGGTGATGCGCCAGAGAATTTGCCTCCTGTGCCAGGGTGGTCATGGCAGCACGATCCTCCTCAGACATCCTCTGGAAGAATGGTTCCGCCTTTTCCCAGAGGATTTGCTGGTACGCTCCCATGCACGCCCCATAGTTCGCCATGCGGGCCAACAGAAGGGCACCCGAGTAGAGCTTCCTGCCCACGGCGTCGAATCTTTTTCCCTCACGGTCGGACGGCGCCGAGGACTGCCTTCCGAACCCTTGAGCCGCCTTCACGACCACCGAGTTAGGGTCGGGGTGGTGTTTCAGCCATTCCAAGCCCTCATCATCAGTCCTGTACCAAGATTCGATTTTCTTGGATGTTGGAGGGATGGATGAAGGGGTCTTCCAGGAGCCTTGAATCACCTCGAGGAGGTAGGGAAGAAAGGGTAGGAGAGGAGCAGGTGGGGACTCCCTCTGTACCCTTTTGAACACTGGGTCCAGTACTGCCTTGGAGGTTTGCTTGACCTCCAGGCCTAGAGCCTCAGCCATGCGAGCCATTTGATCCGCAAAGGCTCGGACATTGTCAGTAGGGGATGGCGGATCAGCCTCATAGGCGTCGTGGGTAGGTGATCTCTCGATCCCGAGAGACAACACCGATCCCGAGTGTACCGATCCCGGTAACTCGCCATCTTCTTCTTCATCGTCAGCAGCCAAGGATCTGGGAGGAGGGGATGAGGAAACATCCCGACTTGTAAGCTGCAGAGGAGCCACTGGAGGGGCTTTAGAAGCCGAGGCCTGAATGGCACGGGCTAGTCTCATTGTCTGTCTGCCCCTTTCTGGAGTCTCCAGCAGTGGAGAAGTCTCCTGTCTGGCTGTCACAGTAGTCAACGTCGTGACCGACGGGAAAAGCTCCTGTCTGGCTGTCACATGGCGAGTTGGTGCCTCGATCACCGTGTCCACCGAGATCACCGGGGACTCGGGCTGTTCCGAAGGCTGCTCCGGCACAGGTTGTGGAGGCTGAGCCGGCTGCGGAGGCAGTTGAGGTTCAGCAGGCCATACCGGCGATGACCTCGCAGACGAGGTGGCCGAGGAAGTAGTGGTCTGCTTTCGGGAAGAAGAGGAAGACGAGGATGGAGGCGGCATCGTCTTCTTCTTTGCCGGCGGTTGAGCAGACTTCGACACTGACTTGCCTGGGGTGGGCGGGACGGAGGATGAGGTGGAAGCACGCCGAGACTCTTCTTGAGACCGGCGAAAGGCAATGCGAACCGCCGTGGAAGATGGCGGAGTCACCGACGTCGACCTCGTGGACCTGACCGATCTCACCGACGCCACCGAGCTGGTCGATGAGTGTCGAATGCGTACGGTCTCGGTCGTGACCGTGCAGGGAGCCGTCTGCTTCGTAGGCCTTGCAGCCTTAGAAGCTGTCGACACAGAGGTCTTCGAGGCTGTCGACATGGCTGATCTCGGCCTTTTCTTTGCGGCCTTCTTCGCCCTTGTCTGGCGAGGCTCGGCCTCCGTCGAAGGATCAGCAGGTGTAGAAACCGATGCCTTCGATCTCGATGCTGATGTCGAAGGCCCGGATACCGCAGCCGACGTCGACGCCGATGTCGATGTTGAGGGTACCGGGGCCAACGTCTGTTGGTACAGAAGGTACCGAAGCCGATGAACCCGGTTCTTGCGGGACTGTGCCGTCAACGACTGACAATGACGACACGAAGAAGTAATATGTGCCTCTCCGAGACACAGAAGGCAAAGAGCGTGCTTGTCCGAATCAGGAATCTTCCTCGGACAATTCGCGCATCTTTTGAAGCGAGTTGTTGACATAATCCGGTCAACAACTCGAGAGGCAATCCTAAGAGAATCACTACTATCTATTCCTAGAAGTCCGAAGCGAGCCGTGCGGCGGAAAAAAAGGAATTGGATCGGTGTGCGCGGGGCGCCCTTTTATCCCCTGCCGGGGCTGGGCGGGGTTACCGCCAAAACTTGAAAGTTTTTAAAAAGTAGAAGTTTCCGTTGGAGCCCGCGCAGGCGCAGTCTCTCCACAAGTGTGCATTCGCAGAGACCACGAAGAAAAATATTAGTTTTTACACAGTCTAACTCACTACTTTTTCACTACAGGGCTCCAGCTGGCAGTGTGTGTGGAAGCTGGCAATACTTTCCTGGGATGTGACCTCACTCTTGACATTTTTGGGCTCTGACCTTCCCCCTCCTCATCAGGCTCATGACTGACCTTTATTGCTCTCCATCTTCATTTGGTTAGTTTTTTCTCAGATAACTAAAATACTATCTAAAATTGCTGTATCTTCCTCAACATGCTTGCTGCACTTCCAGTCCCCCATTGACTTGCCCCTCTGTGTTTGTGTTGTCTGTAGCTGCTCTTTTGGCAACCATGAACTGGAAGAATTAAAGGAGGATCAAAACATCTAAAATGTTCAGGGGGCGGGGTTCTCCATTGCCTTCCACTAAGGATGAGAGAGTTTGACTTGTCCAAAGTCACCCAGGGGGTTTCCATGGCTTAGCAGGAACTTAAACCCTACTCTACAGATGCAATGCTCTAACTACTTCTAACTACTATATCACATTGACTCTTATCCTCATGGCATTGTATGTAAGCTAGCGTATCGCATTCCAGCCTTAAGTCTGATAAAAATGAGATAATCTACAATCTGATCAACAAAATTATGCAAATTTCAAAAGGACTTAAAAAAATATTGCTGGAAAGCAACAGTGCACAATGCAACAAACAAACGAACAAAAATCTCTAACAAATCCAAACCCTTTATTTATTTATTTATTTATTTATTTATTTATTTATTTATATTCCACCTTCTCACCACGAAGGAGACCACTTGAAAGCTTTTAAAAGGGTGCTTATGACATTTTTTTTTGTAATTTTAGAACTTATTTTTCTATGGCCTCCAAAAATCTCTTGAGGTTTGACTGCCAAGGGATTGGCTGAGAAACATGCTGATAATTAGAGAGGAGGAAAACATGTCTATGTGCACTGAAATTGTTGTAGTATAAAATGCAGCAAAACAACTGGAGACAGTTTTTCATTTCTACCAGTGATTCTACCACATCTCAAAATAGTTCTTGGGACAGGAAATGCTAAATGACATAGTATAAACAGGTTTTCTCTGCTTGTAGCCAACAACCTGTCTGCCATAATTAGTTTGATACAAAATCTTCGTCCATAATGGCTCATATAAAGTTTAATAAGAGCATACAAAAGCTCCTATCTGGCTGGCAAATCACACTCTTAGCTCTGAGTTTTAATATGTTTGTGGGGATGGCATTTTGTAAATAGGCAGCTGTTCATCTCACACTTTCCTTTCTCTATGCCCTAGTCAGTGGCTTCAAACTTACCATGAAAAACAGTTCCATATGTAACTGGGAGCTATGCCAAATGCTACTTTTGCATACCTTGAACATGGAGCTGTGTTGTAATACACCTCGAGCCGTGGGGAGAGGTGGGTAAGAAATAATAATAATAATAATAATAATAATAATAATAATAATAATAATAATAAATCATAGACACTTGGGAGGTATCCGACATGTGATCAAACACAAAAGCCAGCATAGTGATCTTGTTTGCTGTGTACTAATCTTGTTATGTATCAAATGATGATTATAAGGCAAGATTATAAGGCAAGATTCCAGCGAGCTTAAAACAAGCTATAATAAAACCGCTGTTGAAGAAACCATCACTGGACCCCACTAAATTCGACAACTATCGGCCAGTTTCCAATCTCCCCTTCTTGGGCAAAGTCTTGGAACGTGTGGTGGCCTCACAACTCCAGGTATTCTTGGTAGACACGGATTATCTAGACCCGGCACAGTCTGGCTTTAGGCCGGGACATGGTACCGAGACAGCCTTGGTCGCCTTAGTGGATGATCTGCGCCGGGAGCTCGACAGGGGGAGTGTGTCCCTGTTGGTGCTGCTGGACCTCTCAGCGGCCTTCGATACCGTCGACCACGGTATCCTTCTGGGATGCCTTGCGGGAATGGGTCTTGGAGGTACTGTTCTGCAGTGGCTCCGGTCATTCCTGGAGGGTCGATCTCAGAAGGTGTTGTTGGGGGACACCTGTTCAACCCCACAACCATTGTCTTGTGGGGTTCCTCAGGGCTCAATATTGTCTCCCATGTTGTTTAACGTCTACATGAAGCCGCTGGGGGAGATCATCCGGAGTTTCGGGGTACGGTGTCATCTGTACGCGGATGATGTCCAACTCTGTCACTCCTTTCCACCTGCTACTAAGGAGGCTGTCAGGTCCTGAACCGGTGCTTGGCCGCTGTGACGGTCTGGATGAGGGCGAACAAATTGAAATTGAATCCAGACAAGACAGAGGTACTCCTGGTCAGTCGCAAGGCCGAACAGGGCATAGGGTTACAGCCTGTGTTGGATGGGGCCGCACTCCCCCTGAAGACGCAGGTTCGCAGCTTGGGTGTGACCCTGGACTCATCGCTGAGCCTGGAACCCCAGGTTTCGGCGGTGACCAGGGGAGCATTTGCACAGCTAAAGCTTGTGCGCCAGCTGCGCCCGTACCTTGGGAAGTCTGACTTGGCCACAGTAGTCCACGCTCTGGTTACATCCCGTTTAGACTACTGCAACGCTCTCTATGTGGGGTTGCCTTTGAAGACAGCTCGGAAGCTCCAACTAGTCCAACGCTCGGCAGCCATAATTTTAACAGGAGCGGAGCGCAGGGAGCATACAACCCCCCTGTTGCGCCAACTCCACTGGCTACCGATCTGCTACCGGGCTCAATTCAAAGTGCTGGTGTTGGCCTTTAAAGCCCTAAACGGTTCCGGCCCAAGCTACCTATCCGATCGCATCTCTGCCTATGAACCCACAGGACTTTGAGATCTTCCAGGGAGACTCTGCTCTCGATCCCGCCTGCTTCTCAAGCTCGGCTGGCGGGGACGAGAGATAGGGCCTTCTCGGTGGTGGCTCCTCGGCTGTGGAACGCCCTTCCTACGGACATTAGACTAGCACCATCTCTAATGGTATTCCGCAAAAAAGTGAAGACCTGGCTGTTTGAGCAGGCGTTCGAATAATTAGTGCAATGATTGGTTAATGAACACTGGAATGGAACAATGGATGATGAATCTGGAACATGTTTTTGATAATGAGACGACAGTGAATGGGTATTGTAGTAACTGTTTATTAATTGTGTAATGTGTTAGGTTGTTAACTGTTTTTATACTGTAGCACTGAATTTTTGCTGTTCGTATTTGTTGTGAACCGCTGTGAGTCGCCTTCGGGCTGAGAACAGCGGTATATAAGTAAGGTAAATAATAAATAAATAAATAAATAAATAATAATCCAGTACTTCCTTCTTCAATTATCTTACCCTAGTGCTCAGATGTAAAGATGCAATCAGCTCTGCAAACTGCAGAGTGGATTGTAGATCTCTGTCCTTGCTGAACACAGTAACTAAAATGGGGCTGCCAAAAATGCCCCAATGGCATGGCTGGGCAGAAGGGGATTAATCAATCCCTCGGGAGGAGTAATTGATTACCTCCACTCTTAGTTGTCACTTTCCACTTTTTTAACCATATGCTGGAGCCCCTGGTGGCGCAGTGGGTTAAACTCCTGTGCCAGCAGGACTGAAAACCAATAAGTCGCTGGTTCAAATCCAGGGAGAGTGTGGATGAACTCCCTCTATCAGCTCCAGCGCCTCATGCAGGGTCATGAGAGAAGCCTCCCACAAGGATGATAAAACACCAAAAACATCTGGGCATCCCCTGGGCAATGTGCTTTCAGACAGCCAATTCTTTCACACCAGAAGTGGTGTGTTTCTCAAGTCACTCCTGACACGACAAAAAACCCAAACAAACCACCATATACTTTGGGTGCACTGATGTACATCTCTCCTGGAAATTGGGGGGGGGGGGGGCTCTGCAAAGCAGTTTGAGGCCAGGTTCTGTATTCAATATATTCAAAACCAGTTGCAGGCATGGCAATCTGATCACCCCTACAGTGAAACCAAAGCTGGATGATTGTGTCAGTGTAGATGTGCCCTGAGAAATGACGGAGAACTTTTGATGCTGAAGAACCTATCAAAGGCCACAAAAATGGAACTGCATCCCTAGCTGTTACTGTGTGAAAAACCAGCTGGGCAGAGGGAGCAGTCTCACCTGCCATGCTTCCAATATAAAGATAGAGATTTATGTTCTGCCATTGTAAGTTAGGATCTTCTGACATCAACAGACCAGGAAAAAGGGAGAGGAATTGCAATTCCTTCTCTCTGGCCAGGCATGTACCTCAGTTGATGTCACCATGGGGTGCCCACAATGGCCAGGAAAACTTCTAGAGTCCTGCAGCAGTGATAGTGACACTGAAGGGAAGGTGATGCTCCTGCCAGGCTGAATCGTTTTTGGCCCAGATAGACCATGTAGACTCCAACCCATTGCCACCACGGATCAGGCCTGGGGTGTGTGGGCACCTTTAAGGCCTCTAAAGTCAGTCCATAACATATCTTTGATTTTGCCCTGTGGTAAGTGATGAGTGTAGGTGTGAGTTAAATGAGTTACCTGAATAATTAATGTTCTGGCAAAGACCTACCAGCATAAGATCTAAACAAAACATATTGTGGAGGGAAAGAGGGTGGAGAAAGAACCACATTAAATCAGAGCTGAACTTATTTCAATCCAGGTCATCATCTATCCTAGAATATTCTTACACAGTTAGCACTGCATTTTTAGAGCAGTAATTTATCAAATTGCAAACATATAGACTATCATACATCTTATTTAAATGTTAGTGGGTTTTTTTAATAATTAGTTTCTCCCAGTTATTCAGGTCAGGCCTGAACAAAATGACAAAGCATTTAGGGAAAAAGATGCAAGTCAGTAACCCAGCACTAGAACTTAAGATAGAGAAGATCTCCACAACCACCATCTGTTTACCCTTTGTGCTCAGGTAGGTTGGAACAAAACACAGCCACACACTACAAAACACCAACATGCTGAAAGTTATAAATTTGGCTTCATTGAAACTGTCAGGCAGCTTCCTGGCTAGGAAAGCCACAGTAAAGCTGACAACAGCCAAGAGACCCATATATCCCAAGACACAGTAAAACATGAAAGTTGAGCCTTCATTGCATTCCATGATGATACTCAAGTTCAATGAATGTGTATTTGTATCTGGAAATGGAGGATATGTCCCTAACCAAATAATACAAATGCCAGCTTGTATAAAAGAGCAGGAAAGGACAATAGCATTTGCAAGTGTTTTTCCCAGCCATTTCCTCACATTGGACCCTGGTTTTGTAGACATGAATGCGAGAATCACAATGATAGTTTTTGCTAAAGTACAAGAAACGGAGACTGTAAAGATCATTCCAAATGTTGTTTGGCGAAGAAGGCAAGCCATCTTTGTTGGCTGTCCAATGAATAGCAAGGAGCAGAGGAAGCAAAGGAAGAGGGAGATAAGGAGAGTAACGGTGAGAGTCCTGTTGTTGGCTTTGACTATGGGAGTGTCCCAATGCTTCAAAAATGTTCCCAACACCAAAGCTGAAATCAGAGCAAAAACGATAGCAGACAAAGTAACACCGATTCCCAGCGGTTCTTCATAGGAAAGGTAGTTTATAATTTTGGGAAGACACTGATTGCGGTACAAGTTTGCATATTGATAATCTGGACAACTCTCACAGCTACCCATGTCTGGAAAACAAAAATGATTGTTAAAATGATATCAAACTGCATCAGTTCGTGTAGAGCTAGCTATAGATTCCTTGAGCAATTCAGTGTTCTCTGCCTAAGAAATGATCAGCTAGCTTTGCTTCGGATCTCAAGAGAAGTTGCTTCTGTGTTAGCTGAAATTGTGTTACCTGTGTTTTCGTGCTCTTTGTCTCTAGTCCACAGATTATTGCATTGTAATCCATTTTTTTTACTGTCAACCTCAAACAAATAATGTGTCTGTGAGTTAACATCATCATCAATTTGCTCCTTTTTAACATATTTGCCTGATGAAGAAGCCACTGAAACTTCTAAAGCTTGCATAGTGGCCCCAATTGGTTGTTGATCCCATTTTTTGTTGGACTTCCTTTGTTGGAATATTTAAGAAGAACATTTTTCTCGTCTGTAAACCATTGAAATGGTTCTGATGGGTGAAAATAATGACTGAGGGTTATCATATCTGAATGTGACCTAAAGGATTGGTTCTCAATAATAAGAGCCTGTATCACAATATTACTTTCAAGGATTATTGATGCCTCTCTATCCCTCCATAACATATGCAACAATTATTGTTTCAGGTTTCTGGAAAATTTATAACAAATTGTATACTTGATAATGGTGAAAAGTCTGTCTCCTACCTTTTTGCTGAGTAATTCTCCCTTCTGGACAAGGAATACAATCATAACAGCAGAAT